CATCAGAGAGAAAGATACACTCCTGCACGCCAGTCAAGAGGAGAAAATCAGGGTCATTGGAGACAGGTATAATAAGCTAGAATTAACGTAATTACAAGCTAGTCATACTCAATACCATCCTATTCCATATCCAATCTAAACCCTTGCGGTCTTATCCCATCCTATCCCATCCCATCCCATCCCATCCCATCCTACCCCTTTAACCGGACAGGGGTCTACAAGTTGGCCGGCAATTTTAGAAACCACATAAATAGTAATTGAATCTAAACCAATAGGGAGATTGAGAATTCGGTTTCCTCTATTCCAGCCACGTCATTTCAAACAATTCATAATCTTGGAGGTTTTAAAATTGGTTCTCTCAATATTACTAGTCTGTATAGGCACATACACGAACTAATAGTCTTTATGACAAAACAAACATTTGATATTCTGGCCGTTAATGAGACTAGGCTAGACAATACAATTTCGGATTCTTTAATACACCTCCCAAATCCAAGTGGAGGTGGTGAATGCGCTTACATCCGAAATTGCATAAATTATAGACGACTCTGGGATCTAGAAAATGAGTCCTTAGAATTATTAGCGCTAGAAATTAACAAACCAAATTCCAAGCCATTTTTGGTACTTTGTTGGTATCGACCACCTCATTCGCCAGTCGAGCATTTTGATGTTTTTGAATCTCTTTTAAAACCGGGCTGAATTAGGTTACTCGGATATCTACATAACTGGCGATATAAATTGTAATCTCCTACAAGACCCTATAGCGACTCGTACACAAAACGACTCATTAATATTATCGAAGGGTACTAATTGACGCAGGTGATAAGTCAACCCACTAGAATAACTAGAATAAGATCAATCAAAGGATTGGAATGATAAAGAGAATACGACATCTTTTGCCTTTACATGCTAAGCTAACACTATACAATTGCTCAATCATCCCACTGTTTTGACTATGGTGACACAGTGTGGGGTTACAAAAATAACGACACGCTTATGAGACTGCAAGTTCTTCAAAACAAGGCAACCAAGATCCTGCTTAATTTACCACCAAGAAGCTCATCAACCGAGGCACGAGATCCTTTGGACCTAAACCCCCTCTCAAAGAGACGACACTTCCATCTTTGTGTTATGACGCAAAAAATATCTGTCGGGGGAAATTGATTTTAAATTTGAGATTAGACGCAATAGTAGTTTTCACTCTTATCAAACTCGCGGAAGCAATGATTTACACCTTCCTCGCGTGCGTACCAAGTGTGGCAAGCAAACTTTCAGCCTCTAAGGACTGGAACAACCTAGACAATGACATGAAAAATGACATGTCCTATCTAACTGTTAAATTATCTTAAAATTAGTTTTATATTGTAATATCAATTTTTTTAAAACCCTTTTCTTGTTTTTAATTTTTATTATGATTTGCAGGGCCCCACTGAAAACCGCCAAGGCGAGTGGGCTCCCTGGATAAATATTTTTATTATGATTATTATTATCATAACAAGTAGCACCTCTACTCTGATTGACCTTTTCATTACGAACAATAACCTGTTACTAAAGTTAATGAAATTTTAACGTTAACCAACACTACCTTGAAAAATGCAGGACATATTGCATATCACTTTAATGTTCGGGAGGTGTTCGGGAGGTCATGGGTTCGATTCCTGTCGGGGACTCAGAATTTTTCTTTGTCCCACGCTCGTGTCATGTTGATTAATTCACCTTCACATTTCATTAC